GAAATTTGCAATTTTCAGTCATTTTAGATTAAAAACGGGAAATTGACAGCCCCAAACCCTTCGAGGCTGTCAATTTCCGGTTTGTAATCTAAAATGACTGAAAATTGCAAATTTCGCAAGGCTATATTTTCTGCATTTTACATCATTTTGCAACGAAACTTTGGAATATTACTAATTTTGTGATGCTCTTTCAAGCTGTAATGAAATTTTTGTTGAGATCAAAATTTAGTCTATTACGCAAATGGTCAATTTAAGGCACTGATAAGTATTAATGACCCTCTCCCCCCGGCATCACTGCATGGTATCACGTTTTGGATTGTTTAACTTTGTGGCAATATCCAAATTTTCCAATGACTTTTTTAAGTTATCGTGAAAATAAACACGGTGTTACAGCGGAGTTTGTCCAGACATTATCAGCTAGGTGACACAGTCTCCCCGGACATTATATCTGTATCGCGGATAACATTCTCCCTAGCTCGCGAATTTTGTCCCCTTAGAAAACTACGCGATTGCATTCATAGAATTACACAATTAGTCTTGTTCAATTGCACTCAGGTGAAAATATATGTTGATCAAGTTGTCCCTGAGTGTGTCCACACCGGGCAAGCTGAAAAGTTTGCTTGATCGTCGTGGGAATCGAACCCGTGACCTTTTGTTTGCAAGAATCGTAGAGAGACACTGATATCGAAGGAATTACACCGAGTTCCGAAATATCACCCACTCGAACGATTTGACCTTGTAGCTCAGTTGATGGAGCATAGGACTAGTAAACAGGGATCGATTCCAACTGCGGTCAAGCAAACTTTTCATGTGGACACACTCCGAGTCAACATCACAAACATACACTAACAAAGATATCCATAAGTATAAGCTTATAGCACAAGAAAAGCATCATTGCTTCACAAAAAAATGTAATAGAACAAATTATAAAAACCGCACACACGCTAACAAAGGAATCGATGTGTGGAATAATCTTCCTTCGCAATATAAAGAAATTAGATCTTTTCCTATATTCAAAACGACTATGAAATGCATTGTCTTCATCCTGATAAAAATAAATAGAACTCTTGCCACTTAAAGAAAGGTTAAATTGTTGTAATATAGCTTATTCTATCTCACAGTTTCCTTATTTGTATACATATGTATCACCTTATTCACGTAACTTTATCTAGAAACATTTGAACTGGTATATTTTATTGGTATTAATAAATATTTAATTTAAAGTTGTAACTAAGGACCTTAACTGAAAAGCCTTTTGGTTTCTAGAAGTTTCCTAGTCCTTTTAATGTAAATATTTTCTATTTCATGATTTATATGATGTAATATGGGCGAATTAGTAAAAAAAAAAAAGATATAGGGTACATGCACGAGAACTTTCTAACGACTGTACATGGCATAGAGCTTCAAAGGGTGTAGGTACAATACAACCTGTGCCAATCTGTGCCTGGCACAGAAGTGTTACGTATTCGCATCTTTAATATTGCGTAAAATGCTTTTTCGTCATAGAGTAGTCTTCGATTACTTGGAAAGTGAAGAAGAGATTGTGATTGATTTAATGATTTTATATTAATTTTTTCAATATAATTTTACCAAAGTGAAATTTTAGACGAAACGAGAGGCAATAATTATGAATATTGTGTAAAATGCTTTTTCGTCATAGAGTAGTTTTCGATCACTTGGAATGTGAAGAAGAGATTGCAATTGATTTAATGATTTTATATTAATTTTTTCAATATAATTTGGCATCAATTACAATGTTCAGTTTAAAGTGTCCCTGTCACAAAATGAGAGTTTATATTTTTGAAATCTATGATACAAAATATACGGAAATTCGAAAACAGAATCGAAATTTCTTTTTTAGTGTAAAAGTTATTGCCGTTTAAACACTGTATTTGGCCTGGTGAAAAATCTGAAAACCGCGAAAAAGAGACTGCGACGAAACAATGCGTGTGACGTAATAGTAGGGACTTATCTAGCTCACTAATATAGAAATACTATTCATGCACTATCATAGAGGAGGCAATAGCGCAAATAAAAGTCGCGAAACTGAAAAATTGCCGAATATATGTGTAGTAGGCGGTTGTTCTAGTGTCACAGATACACACTGTAAAAACTGATTGGTTAAAATGACCAATTTTTTAGGTTGCAACCATTGGCAATTGGTCATTTTGACCAATTGTTTAATTAGTTAGTCGCATTTGACAAATTAAATTTGGTTCCTTTGACTATTACAAATTGGTCGAAAAAATTGCTCATCTTTCGACCAATTTATATAAGTTATTATAACCAACTTTTTATTGGTCATTTAGTTGAGTGTTCACTGTTAATTTCAAGGAGTTATTTCAACTCCACTGAGAATTAAAAATTGGGAGTGAAAATTTTGAAGTTAAATTTACTCGGCCTATACGTCTTCGATATATGCATTCGAACATATACTCCACTGAGCGTCAATTTAACTCCACTTAAAGGAGTAAAATATAACGGACTAAATTTTACTCACAAACAGAATAACGGAGTAAATTTTACTCATAATCAAAATAACCGAGTAAATTTTACTTCATATTTTTTACTTCACAATTAATCGTATAGTAGGAGCAAAAATATCGAGTAATATTCCGCCTAGTTTTTACTCGGCCGGTGTAATATAACTCGACCATTACACACAACCTTGAATTAGGGCGATATTTGCTATACAAATTCGTATAGTGAAAGCCTGCAGTTCGTGTATAATCATCCGACAAATACACAAGATCTAGCTGGTTGACGAGCTTTTTCGTAAATGTTGCCAAGTCAGATTGCTCTTAATATTACCATGCAGTATCGGCTTCTTATTGTTCAATCGCGCGCGACGATCGAGTTTTTCTCGTCAAATTAATTTACTGTCATTGCTCTCAGTATATCAGTTGTTTATTTTTTATTTGCTGCGTAAATCTGTAATTTGAACTTGTGGAATGTCCTGCTGCTGAATTCTGCTGAATATAATTTGCGCCAAGTGGAAGTTCCAAAGTTTCAACCAATTACCATGCTTAGAATATATCACGTGTTGTAGTAATTCAATCTTTTCACACCAGCGCGCTAAGTTCGACCTTTTGGGAGCAAACATTCAAACAGGAAGGATTTATATTCAAATTTTCTGCTTATAAAGATCCAAAGACTTAATAGAACACAAGGAAATTGTTTTCAAAGATAAGACTCTATCAGTCAGCCACTCAGCCTAAAACATGTGCAAGGGGCCGCTTATATAAAGGCAAGCCAGTCCAGGTATTAACTAACCTGGTTATAGCTCGCTTTCACTGGATGAATGTCTGTTTACATGAGCCTCTTTAGATGAACATGCTTGCCAAAACAAATCACTATAAAAAAATTGTATAATTTCCCATAAAATAAATTGACATACTTTTGCAGACAGTTTTGAAATGTAACTTACAAAAAAAATCACAAAGATCTTTTAATCCATTGAGCCGCAATGCGCCCCAGTATGCCTTACTTATTTTTTTTGCTTGCTTAACGCCAGACGCTTTCACTCCTCAGTAGGGAAGCTCTGCAGCTTAATGGGTTAACCAAAAAATCTGACAATGTCTCTAGTTAACCCATTGAGCCGCAATGTGCCCTAGTGCGACCTACTTATTTTATTTACTTGTCTACTGCCAGCAGTGGTGTAACTTTACTTTTTTGACATAAAGATTAGTTGCTCTGAATAAAATCCACTTGCCATCAGACAATGGCCACTTGGGGTACCTAGGTAGGGGGTATAAATTAAGGGGACAACATGTCAACCTGTTTTCCCACTGCGCTATATGGCTATGTTATACTGCCTCAGATATAGCTTTGGTGCCCAAAAAACGAAATTTGAACCAAGTCCATGCACTATAAAACAAAATATATCTGACAATGAATAGTGGCAAGGCAACTTGCCCAATCGGGCAGCAAGATAAAGTGTTTACTTGCCCATCATGATATTCACTTGCCCCAGGCAAGTGTTAAGTTACACTTCTGGCCAAATGATTTTACTCGTCAATGGGGAAACTCCAACTCTACAGCTTAATGGGTTAATATTCAAATTGATTGGGAAATGTCATTTAGAAGATTACATTATGCCTAAACAAAGCATTAATACTGTGCCAAATCCTGGGTCATTGTATATAGTTTATATGGAAAATCTTATAGTTTGGCATTAGCAACATTTTGGGTCAATTGAGGCAGTATCTTAAGTTTATTTATTTAGCTTTGCCAACTAGGTGTCACCACAACAGTGTTGTGTTCTAGTAGCGGAAGTGCGTATAGACGGAAGTGAACTGGGTAGCGGGATTCGGGGAAGAGACACGAGGCATAGATGAAAGCGATGTATATATTTCATGATAGTTTCCTATAAGTATTAACGTTCACATTACATATCTATATTGTTTCTTACAATATAACATTGGCGACGAGGATAACCTCAACATTCGATTACTATGGCAGGATTAGATTTCTCGGGAATTCAACAGTTTGATCCTCATTCAGAGCCAAGTTCGCTGGCTTCGCAGGGGAAAGAATGGCTGCAACGATTCAAACGATGTATAGTCGCTTTTGACATCAAAGACAAAGCAAGGAAACGAGCTCTATTGTTATACCTGGCCGGTCCAAAGGTGGAAACAATATTTGCCACGCTCTCTGATACGGGAGAAGAGAACGACTTCGATAAAGCCATAGAGAAATTGACAGAGTATTTCGCGCCGAAGAAAAACATTCTATACGAGCGACATATTTTTCGCCAAGTCAGCCAGCGATCTGACGAAACAATTGACCAATTCTGTACACGACTGAGACATCGTGCCTCGACATGCGAATTCGATAATGTAGAGGACGAGATTAAAACACAAATCGTGGAAAACTGCAGGTCTAGTCGACTCAGAAGGAAAGCATTTCGGGATGACCCCAAGCTGGATGATTTGATTAAATACGCGAGAGCACTGGAAATTTCTGATCACCATGCTGAAGAAATGGAAAAGCAACACCGTCAGGAGGCTGTGTATCAAAACACCAGACGAGATTTTCCGTCAAGGGATATAAAAGGTAAACAAGCACAAACTTGTTATAATTGTGGAGGGACGTACCCCCACCAAGGCAGGCCCTGCCCCGCTGCAGGCAAGACCTGTCATAATTGCTCAAATACTGGACATTTCGCTCGAGTTTGTAAGTCTGAACAAAAACCAATCTCTCGAAAACCTCGAATGCCTCAGGACCAATATAAATCGAAGGCAAACAAGTTGAATGCTTTGAACCAAAATCGGCAACAGCAACCACTCTCTACTGAGCCAACAGTACAAGGTGAACCGGA